ATATATATATATATATATATATAGAACCGCATTCAAACATTAAATAGGAATGAAATGCATATATTTACATGAATTACTCATTGCAAATACGTTTGTTTGCATTAGTGTAGACATCTCATTGGATTCATATTTTAATGGATCATTCTTTTAATGAAAGTCAAAAATTGTTTGACAGTATATTAATTTTACGACTGGGCCACACATCGTAAAAAAATATAAATTAAATTTAAATGAATAATTTAAGATGAATTTGAAACTGGATAACAAGTTAACTAAGTCTGTCACTATTAAGAAAATATTCGTGCGTACGTTAATTCATCTAAATGAATCAATAATGAAGAAATTATTTCAACTTGTGTTGATCTCTGAAAATATATATCCAGAGAAGGAGAGGGGGATGTAATGTGAGAAAATAAATAAAATGTATTCTACATAGTGCTACGAAGGATAATTAAAGGACGAAAGAATCATCAAATAATTGTTTTAGTTCTTTGAGATGCTGCATTTTGCTTCCTGTTGCGGGTGAAGCAGCTGTTGGACGACCAACATACCTGAAACAAAAAGTAAGATTTCCAGATCAGTAAATTGTAAAATATATATTTAAAATATATCTGTTCTCTCTACAGTTATCATATATAGAAAAGTATGACAAGTAAAGCTACAACAGATATCCTAATCAAGTACTATAACCAACATTACCTTAACGTTCTCTGTTCGAGTTTATTAGATTCTACCGACAGTGGCTCGGACACAACCTTTGGTTTAGTCGATGAAAACCAACCACTAAACCACCCTCCGCTACCCCTACTGTCGTATGACGTCGTTCCGCTGCTGTAACATGGCCCAATTTTTTTACTTTGCTTAACTTTGCTAAGCACGCGCACAACGCAAATTATTGACAAATTTTGTGTTTAAATATATTGCTTATTTGTGATATATTCACATACAAATCACATTAAAAACGAAACTGTGACAAAGTAAAAAATTTAGGCCATGTGAACAGCTATGAATATATGAGAAAACAAATTGAACAGCCAAAATATACATAGCAATCTTGTAATACTTGTAATATTGTAATTTATGTTACAAGTATTAATGTACGTTAATATATTCGTTATAAACGAGAACAGAAACAATTTATGCTATACAAGTTGAGAATAGAAATATTGCTCAGATTTTAATATTTGTTTGAAATTCGATACTCACAATACAGAGCGAGTTCCATTCAAAGCTGTATGAAATCTAGGTTGAATGTACGTCCATGCACCTTGATTTTTGGGCTCCTCTTGAGCCCATGCTAATTCTGCATTGGCGTACTTTGCAGCTTCTTTCTTGACTAAATCGTATGGGAAAGGTGAAATCTATAAACAAAAAAATTTGGGTAAATTTAATTAATAGAATAAAAATAAGCAAAAAGATTTTTGTACTTGATAACAATTATCACTTACCTGTTCGACTCTGGCAATAGCGATTCTGTCGTCTAATTTTCTCTCCGCGCGTGCTTTCTTCAAATCATAATAAACTTTGCCAGAACAAAAAAGTAACCTTTTAACATTATTAGGATTCTGAGAAGCTGCACCTTCTTCTGGAATCACTCTAAGAAATTCTGTATTTTCCAGCATCAAATCGAAACTAGACTTTGCTTCTGGATGACGAAGCAGTGACTTTGGTGTCATTAAAATCAGAGGTTTCCTAAATGGTAACGCAATCTGTCTTCTTAGAATATGGAAATAATTTGCTGGTGTGCTACAATTAGCTACAATCCAGTTGATATCATGCAACTGGCGCACAGCAAATTCTTCACTTTCAGGAGGGAAATAATCTGGATCATCAGCAGACATTTGCAAAAAACGTTCTAAGCGAGCACTGGAATGTTCAGGCCCCTATAACAAGCAACCATGTGTAAATAATTACATACCATCACGTAAATGAAATTTTTTAAATTCATGTTTAACTTACCATTCCTTCAAGTCCGTGAGGTTGTAGCATAACAAGACCAGATTGACGTACCCATTTAGCTTGACCACTGCTGATAAATTGATCAATTATGCATTGTGCTGTGTTATTAAAATCACCAAATTGTGCTTCCCAGCACACTAGTGCATTAGGATTGGTCATAGAGTAACCTAATTCAAATCCTGAAAATTTAACAAAAAATATCTTCGTTAGTAACATTGTAAAAATAAATACAAGGAATACAATCTAAGCAATGTTAAATTGAATGTCATGATTGTTTTGTTTACCAAGTACACCAAATTCTGACAAAGAACTGTTGCACACGGTATATGGAGCTTGATCTGGGTAAAGATAACACAGTGGTCTGTAAGTAGCCTTATCCACGGTTTGGTGATGGAGAACATGATGTCTATGTGAGAAAGTTCCTCTTTCTACATCTTGACCTGATAACCTAACATGAATACCCTCTTTAAGCAAAGAACCGAAGGCCATAGCTTCTCCAAGAGCCCAATCAACTGTTCGTGCTTCTATCATTTCCATACGAGACTTCAAAATACGTTCGATACCTGCAGGATTGGTTTAATAGTAATACATATTTCAAATTGCATTTATATCTGATGTAAATTTTGCGTAATTAATCCATCGATAATTACAAAGACATTTACCTTTGTGAATTACAAATTCAGCCGCGTTAGGTGGTGGCGACGAAAACTTCTTTCCAATATGAATGAGTGTATCTTCTTTAATACCAGTAGGAGATACTTTCAAAGGGTCTTTTCCTTCAAAGAAGCCGGACCATGGAGAATCTAACCAATCTTTATACTTAATGTGAGTTTCTTGTCTAGCATTGGTATATGCTTCTTCACAGATTTTTTCGTATTTATCTTTAACATCCTGTAATGTCATTACATTGTTGTGTACATTGTCAAACGTACTTAAATAGCTAAAATATTTCTTATTTAATACCTTAACTTCTTCAGAAGTAACGACACTATCGTCGATGAGACTTTTAGCATATTTATCCAGAACTGGTGGAGTATTTTTAATCTTACGATACATTAAAGGTTGTGTGAACATAGGTTCATCAATCTCATTGTGACCATTTCGTCTATAAGATACAATATCAATGACAACATCTTTGTGGAAAGTTGCTCTCCATTCTGCAGCAACTTTACAAACATGCATCACTGCCTCAGGATCATCCGAATTAACGTGGAAAATGGGTGCGTTCACTACTCTTGCAACGTCTTTCAAAAAAAACCATTAACAACTTTAATATTAGCAATTCTAAAATATGAAAATGTTATTTTTTATATAAACGGCGAGATGTTTACCAGTACAATATGGAGAAGATCGCGAATGCCTTGGATCCGTAGTAAATCCAATTTGGTTATTCACAACAATGTGGACAGTACCATGAGTCGTATAATCTGGCAGATCTGACAAGTGCATTGTCTCAAAAACAATACCCTGCCCACAAAATGCAGCATCGCCGTGCAGAAGAATAGACATGACCTATTAATATCCAGTTTAATAAAGTTTCCAGAAAAGCAATAAAATTTTATCAACAAAATCGTTTCACATATGTAATACCTTTTTGCCTTCGCCATCACCACGGTAAAATTGTTCTGCACGAGTTTTCCCTTGTACTACCGGATCGACAGCTTCCAAATGAGATGGATTCGCCACAACAGCTAAACGAATGTTCTTATTTGTTACTCGATTTAAGCGCTCAATGTACGTGCCTAAATGATATTTAACATCACCAGAACCCTAAATTATTAAAAATCCATAAATATCATGCGTGTACGAAATAGCAAAATTTCACATAACAAGTATCATAAGCGCTTACATCATCAGCTGCTTCGAGAGCCGCAAACTGAGTAAATATTTGACTCAAAGGCTTGCGGCAAACATTAGCAAGGACATTTAAACGGCCACGATGGGGCATACCCATGACAATGGATTCAACTCCTAATTCAGTTGATTTATCAATTACTTGCTTCATAGCAGGGATCAGGATTTCACATCCTTCCAAACCAAATCTCTTCTCAGATGACCACTTGCGTGCAAGGAATGCTTCAAATCTACAATGGAAATAAAAAAAATAAACATTTTGCTGTTGGTATAAATGTAAAGGTGTTTACATTTTGACATACCCAGTTGCACGAGTTAATCTAGCCAAAATAAGTCTTCTTTCATCGTTCGTCATCTCCATAACACCAGGAGTCTCCATCTTTTGTCGAATCCAATTGCATTGTTCCAAGGAGTTGATAAACATGAATTCCACACCGATGTGACCGCAGTAAGCAGATTCTAATCTTTTCAAGATTTCACGGAGCGGCAATGATTTCTCTTTGCCACCAATGAAAGTGGTAGATGGTAACTTGAAAATACGATCCATGTCCGACTCCTCTGTAGAAATTGAACAGTAATTGAACAGTAATTGAACGGTAATAATCTGATTATTTTAAAAATATACATAAAAATAAACATAGTAAAAGATCAAAACAAAATAAAGTCATGTCTTCATAGTAAAATTTATATAAAATATTTCAAAAGGATAAAAAAAGTCTTTTAAATAAAACTTATTATATATAACACGCACTTTTTTTTTCATTTTTTTATAGTATACATATTTTTATAACTGATACTGAAAATGTAAACTATTTATAGAGCGAAAAGAGAAAAGCTTTATACAGTACAAAACTGAAATGCAGTTTTTCTATATTTTCAATATGGATATATGCAATTAGCTTTTTCCATAATACTATACGTGAGTACATATACAAGATATTTGACATGCATCATGTCTTAAAAAAAAATTAAACTAAGATTATAACAAACCTTCTCTCCTCAATATTTGTAAGAGTAGAAATAAATGGAAAACTGAAAAAAAAGTTTACACAAACGGTAAATCTCAATAAAGCATCATTAGTAAAACAATCACCAACAATACTAAAATCATAGCAATATAATAGTGATAGTATGATCAAATCTTTGTATCACTAGTCATATAAGATACCAAACAAAATAAAAGAGTGTAGAAATTTGAAAAATAATGTTAAACAACACAAATGGGAAATGTAAAAGTAGGAACTTGAAGAGGAAATATTTGCAAGAAGTATGCTCTATAAAAATGTTTATAAATACATTTTTTATGACATCATGTATATTATCATTATTTAGTATACTTCCTCTAATTTTTCCAGAAGAAGCACTTAGAAATCATTCCTGGCACAGCAAAATATAACAATCAAAATAAATCAATGTTCATTTGAAGGATCCAAACACCTTTACAATTTGCCTTTAACACCAAATTTTTATGTAATCCCATAGTGAACCATTGCCTCCCCAAAATACTAATATTTAACGAAGGTTTTACATTGCAATTCCATTTGAATTATAATTCTTACTTTTCATAAGTGCAGTTATTTTATATTGCAGTTCCTATGAAATAATAGTATGTGTTCTATTTCCTTTAGACATTATAATTAAATATACATATTTATATAAAAACAATATTAATTTCACTTTATTCTTAATAATTAACTTTGTAATACTGTTTAAATTTAAATTTTTTTTTGCTTTTTAATGCTGTACTTTGTATCCAGGAAGAAAATGAATTATAATAATAAGTATCATATTGGTATAAAAAAAGTTATATAAATATTTTCAAGATAAGAGGATGTTAAGGAAATATTGCTTTAAGCAATATTTCAAGCAGTTCAATTTTTAATATTCTCTATTTCACGTAAAGTGCGTCATTCTATACCTTTACTCCTTTGATGATATACAGAAACACATTCATTTAGGCTTACCGAATGAATAATGATTATAGAGCAACTCTTGTGGATGCCTATCATCAAGATCAGCGCTGTTGATGCCAAGTGGATCCAATTTCGCGATATGATGGCCACGAATCTGTCAATTTAACGCCACATTCATACGAACCAAGTAGTTTTTAGTTCTTCAAATTTATCAACTCATTACATACATTAAAATTAATTACTGTGATTAATGTTCATTTAAACATGTCTTAAAATATTTAAGTTTTCAAGGAACAAGCAATAAAGAAATGAATTATTTTTAAAAAACATCATATCACAGTAATTCAAAGCAAACACTGATAAAATAAATATTCATTAATATTGATATTTTAATAGTTAAAGCATGTTATACATATGTTTTCTATTACTGTGTTGTTTCTATTACTGACTCTGTTATTTATATACTTAAAGCTATATTTCAATGTTCGTTATATTACTCTTTTTTTAAGGATTATATTAAATGTATAATATACATAAATTAAATAATAAGTTGTTCTAGAAACAAACATTCCAAATAGTAATTGCAAACATATAAAAGCAAAGCTGTTAATATCATCTGCAAGCATGCATAGCAATGATTTCCAAATACATTTTCTTACCTTGGATAAAAACTTTACTTATGCACATTATTTAAAGATACATAATAAATACTAATACACTCATTACATTTAACATATATAATATATCAATGCAAATTACAAAACTAAATCAATAAACATTCCACTGCATCCACTCTTTAAGAACATTTTCAGTATCAGTAAAACTTATCGTGGACTTACATTTGCATAACACCTTCTCAATATACTCATACAATTTTAATAAATTTTGTGCATTTTCCAACATTTTCTTTTTTAAAATATATATTTGAAGTTACTTGAATTATTTATGTATTTTACTTCTTTTAAAGAATATAGACAACAAGAACTGTTTTAAATATTGTTGCAAATAGTATGTTTATTATATTATACATAGGATATACAAGAAAGCTATGATAACGATTAAGAAGGAGTTAATGCATATGATGAGAACCATGATGTTTGTTTTTGTGATGTGAAATATGACATACATCTGGTGAAGGTGTTTTAAAATGTTCTAATAATTCAAAATGATAATATTCGTACAAATTTTGACCAAGGGAACAAAATATATATAATCTAAAACTAAATTTGATATGTACGTATGAAATGTACACCTTTACCTTTGTACATATGAAAACTAAAAGTAATATTTTAAGGAAATGGTTTGGATAAAAGCCTTACCAAGCATATATTGTCGCAGAACCTGTTCTGGAGACCCCTTGCGGGCTGCATAATGTGTGTGTATCAGGTCTGTTTGCATGATACCCAGTGGGTCCAGATCAGCAACTAAGTGACCTCGAGCCTATATGTCAATGAATAATTCCACAAGGACCCCAATATGTATCACTTTTTCTATTTGTTTAACTACCACACATTACATTATAGAAATACAATATTGCCATAAAATATAATCACCACTTAACTATTCTATCTTCAAATACTAATTATAGCACATTAAAACTTTTAATTTTTTACATTTCTAAAATCATATAAAATATATATTACATTTTCTTCAATGACAATATATTACATTTTTTTTTT